TGCATCCAGACAGTTGAAAAGACACGAGGAGAACTATCCGACTCATGATCTGGAACTAGCCACGATAATCCACGCTCTGAAATTTTGGAGATCTTATCATTATGGTGAGAATGTTAAACTCAACACCGATCACAAGAGTTTAACCCATGTCATCTCGCAGAAAGATCTGAACCTCCGACAAAGACATTGGCTAGAACTGATGGCTGATTATGACCTGGAAATTGCTTACCATCCGGGTAAAGCAAATTTTGTAGCTGATGCATTGAGTCGAAAGAAGATACTATCTGCTATCATAGTATTGTCCTCATCACAGGAGAATATAGCAGAGTTGTCGGCTATATTGGATCATTTGACGGTTGCAGAGGACGAACAGTTCCCAGATCGGAGAGCACGGGTAATTTCAGAGCAGCGCAATGACCCAGAACTCATGAAGTACATACAGGAGATTGAGCGATATCACGAGAAAGGATATTAATTGGATGACGCTCAGGCATTGAGACTGCATAACCGACTTTGTGTACTAGATAACGGTGAACTAAGACGGAAAATCTTGCAAGAAGCTCATAAATCCAGATTGGCGATTCATCCAGGAGCCAGCAAGATGTATCGAGGTTTACGACAGTGGTATACATGGCCTGACATCAAGAAAGACGTTGCAGATTTTGTTACGCAATGTCTGACGTATCAGCAAGTGAAGGCTGAACGACAAATGCTTGGAGGAAAATTGCAACCATTAGAGATTCCAGAGTGGAAGTGGGACTATATAGCAATGGGTTTCGTGGTTGGATTGCCAACAACTCCGACGAAGAAGAATGCAAGTTGGGTGGTTGTGGACCGATTAACCAAATCGGCACATTTTATACCGATATGACAAGAGTAACAGTTGAGAGATTGGCACAGATCTATGTGGATGAGATCGTCCGACTACATGGAGTGCCGAGTGAAATTATCTCTGACAGAGATCCTCACTTGACTTCGAGACTGTGGAATGCTATACATGATGCAATGGGAACGAAGTTGAAGATGAGTACGACATACCACCCACAGACAGATGGACAGTCGGAACGGACTATTCAAACGCTCGAGGATATGTTGAGAGCGTGTATTCTAGATTGGGGAATTCTGTGGGATCGACACCTAATGTTGTGCGAATTTGCGTACAACAATAGTTTTCATGCCAGTATCGGTATGCCACCTTATGAGGCACTGTATGGGCGACATTGTAAGACACCACTATGTTGGACGAAAATCGGAGAACGACGAAACTTTGGGCCTGAAATTGTAGAGGAAACGACTGAGGTTATCCGAAATATCAAGGTTAACCTGAAAGTCGCCCAAGACCGTCAGAAGTCCTACACAGATAAACGGAGACGGGATTTCCAACTGGAAGTGGGCGATCAAGTATTCCTTCGAGTACAGACGATTAAAGGGCACGCAAGGTTCGGTAAAATGGGGAAGCTCAAGCCTCGTTATATTGGGTCGTATCCAGTAATTAGGAAAGTGGGAGTAGTGGCGTATCGAGTGGAGTTACCGGCAAAACTCGGCGACATACATGATGTATTCCACGTGTCCATGTTACTGAAATACGTGGCAGATCCATCCCACATCTTACGGCCCCAAGAGATTGAGGTTACCCATAATGTTCACTTTCGTGATAAGCCGCTACAAATCGTGGACTACAAGATGAAGCAGTTGCGGAATAAGGAGATTCCCTTAGTCAAAGTCTTGTGGCGGAGTCAAAGAGTCTCCGACATGACGTGGGAATCGGAGAAAGAGATGCGCGATCATTATCCCCATCTATTTGATACATAACTTTCAACTTAAGTTCGTTTGAATTCGAGGACGAATTCACTTTAAGGGAGATAGATTGTAACAACCCAGTTTTTCAAAAAAAAAACTCGGACCGTCCGTTCCGGAGAGTTGATGTCGTAAATCTAGGTGTAGAAATATGATCAAGTAATAATATTCCTAGACTCAACAATTAACCGCAAGTGTACGGATCGTGTGTAGTAGATAGGGTCGAACACAGGGACAAGTAAAAAACAGAATAAAATCTAAATCCAAGTCTAAATCTAGAGAAAATAATATGAGTGTGAGAGTGTAACAAAGCAAACGATAAAACGACTGTAAACTATGAATGATGAACACTGCAGGCTTCGGGATTACTTTACATGCAAGGATCTTTCAAAAGATGCAAACTTAATGGTTTATCTATCCAGTTCAGGAAATTCAAGCTCTAAGGTAGAGATCAACTCTTCCAAGTCTAATCTCACTATCCAGGTTTAATCCTACCAATCTCCCGATTCGATAGTCTAAAACTCTGGATGCATGAACGAACGCTATCATAATTCCTAGACAAATACCCATCTTCCAATGCGATACCTGTTCTATTTATTGAATTAGTTCCAGGTTAGAATCCCATATGTCTATGTGAATTAAAACTCTAAGTTCATTCAACCAAGTGGCCAACGAGATCAAAAGCATTAAGAACAATTCAATAAACTGAATGGAATAAACAAATCCAAAAGTCTGGAATTAAAAACCAAAGATCCCTACATAGCAAATCCTTAACCTACAGCTATGGGACTACTCGCTAAACATCGAGACGTCGGGGTTCATATCAATACAACAAAACATCGTAAAATAGAAGAAAGGAAGAATGCTTAGTCGATTTTCCGGCTTCGTAATCTCCGTCTTCTACTCTGATCTCTTGCCTCTTGATAATCTCCCTCTTCTTATGTGCTCTAGGGTGTGTTTTCTATCAAAAGTATGAATGTTTTTCGACCTTGGGGGCTAACCCTAGTTATCTCCTCTTTCTTTTGGGAAAATTTGGAAAATTTCCAGATTTTAAGTTACCCGATTGTGTCTACATAAGTGACACGATCGTGTGACTTTGTAGTTTTGACGGGCTTCACGAATTTGCTCATAACTTCGTGTTCCGACATTGGATTTTGGTGATCTTGGCGTCTATGCGTAGATATCGAAGAGAGCTTTTCAATGGTGTAGAGAATGCATGATTTGGACTTGTAGAATGAAAGTTATCGGACTTGCAAGATCTGATATTTTCTGAGCTTCACGTTTTTCCTGGAGACACTCCAAATGTTCCAGTTTCATCCGTGATGTTCCGAAACCCATGTTTTCCACTCTTTTTGCTCTTTTTATGCATGTAAACCTGTTTAAATACCAAAGAACATAATCATGCAATATCGAAGCCAAATGTGCCCTAGAAAGCCTACAAATATGTAAAATAGAGTGAAATATGCTAGACATCCTATATCAAAACGTCACCCAAAATATGTGTTATCAAACTCCCCCAGACTTAAACCTTTGCTCGTCCTCGAGCAAATTCTCTGTGAAAAACGGTCTGAAAAAGGAGGGTGAGACAATGACATAACTCAAAATGATAATCGAGAGCGAAACCTCTATCCGACCTAGATCCCCGTGAACAATGATCAAGTCTTCTAGTATGATCTCCCTCTCTAAAGGGTAATCTTTCCTAGCCATGGGATCTATACCGTTATCTAGAACCAAATCAAGGATTTCAATCATCTATCAATCATGTTTCTCGAACCTATTACACCATTCTACCTAATCGTATCTAGTCTACGCTTTCGGCATTCATTCTTTTTCTCTTTCTCTCCTTTTTTCTTTCATCTAGCTAGACTTTCTTTCTTTTTTTTCTTTTGCTAGCATCTCGGGTTCCTAGGACGTTGAAGTTGAAGGGTTCCTAATCAATTTTGTTTTCGATTTTGTTTATTGGATAACCCAACCCACAACTTAGACCCGAACCATCAAATCGATGCACTCATATCCTCGAACGATTTTCGTTGACGAGATAATGACAGCGGAGTGTCGAGATGCTCACTATCTTTTTCTGCACATGAAGAAATAAGAATGCATTTGATAACAAACATTACCGATTTCAGCAAACATGAGAAAGATTCTTATATAAACTTCTACTTGGCTAGACAACATCGGTCCATGGGTTCCAACCAACGATTTCTATCCCACAAGCTATTCTAGACAATCCTAAAGGTCAAGCAATCAATACAACAAAACATAACCACGTTCAACGGATCACAATGTTTTCAGGACGTTTCTACTCTCTCATGCCATAGATCATCACATCAATGCTCGAAACGGTTTTATGCACGTGATTTTATATGTCCTAAACACTATATGAGAATGCACAATCCTAACAACAAACTATATGATCCTAATGCATCCTATATGCACATGCAACTAAAAAGTGAAAATAAAACACAAAAATGCATGCAACACTACTCTATATGGATATGGTTTGGCGTTAGACGAATCCTCCCCCAGACTTGAACTGGACACCGTCCTCGGTGTCAATTCTCGTCTAGTAGAGGCAACCAATAAGATGAGCCAAAGAGAAGCAAATCAAAAAGGAAAAAGAATACTTAGCTCGCGATGTTCGTTCACTTGCCCTTAAGTCTGCCTACATCAATCACATAGCTAGCTTCCTCGCCTCCTCAGTAGCTCCTCATTAGAACTCAACCTGGTGATAAGAGACATAAACCAATATCCGATGCAAAAAGAAAAGAAAGAAAAGAAAAACTAACCTGAGACCTCGGGTTGCCGCCCGGAAGCGCTTGTTTAAGGTCACTAGCTTGACCGAACCTTCTCAACTACCATACGGGTCTAAGAGGCGAAGATTATCAATCTTTCACCAACCTGGATCATGAAGTATAGGAGCATAATGGTCTGATAGGGTGAGATGGGTCGTGAATGCCCATGTGAGGTGAAAACGAGTCATGTGGCTGATTAAGGTCTTGACACGATCGTGTGGAAAGGGGAGACCCGATCGGGTGAGTCATCTGTAACTTTGAGCTTCGGATCAGTGCTGGGACACGATCGTGTTGCGCAGTAGACACGATCGGGTCAACTTCATGTGTCTCTCGTTTTTGGATCAAGGATGAGACATGATCGTGTGGTTGGGATGACACGATCGGGTCAAATGCGTGTATCTTTTGGTTCTAGGTAGGTGATGAGACACGATCGTGTGTCGGGGATGACACGATCGGGTCAGACTGCTGAATTTTTTCGGAAGTTGATGTACCGTTAACACGATCGTGTTGCAAAAGGGACACGATTGGGTCAGATGGCTGATTCGCGCATACAACATTGCGACTTTGGACATGATCGTGTGAAGAGCTAGACACGATTGTGTCTGTAGATGACGGTTGCTTTAGATTTTTGTCCAGAGTAAATTGTACCATCTCATCGCCAATCTTCATAGTGAGTCGACCTGCTCGAACATGAATGATAGCATCTACAGTGTTAAGGAATGGACGACCAAGAATTATAAGTACTTTAGAGTCTTCGTCCATGTCGAGAACCACGAAGTCAACTGGGATATAGAAGTTCCCAACTTTCAGTGGCACATCTTCAAGTATCCCGGCAGGGTATTTAACGGAACGATCGACAAGTTGAAGAGACATTCTAGTGGGCTTTAGCTCACCCACATTCAGCTTCTACGCATAGACACCAAGATCGCACAAATCCGACATTGGAGCAGAAAGTTATGAGCAAATCTGTCAAGCATGTTCGAGTTGAAGAATCGACACAGACCGTGTTACATTCGACACGGCCGTGTTGTGTCCGTGCTGAAAAAAGTGAAGTTTTGCTCAGAGAATTGACACGGACCGTGTTGTCATTCGACACGGCCGTGTTGATTCAAACTCGCCCGTGTTCAGCCCATGTCTAAAGTGCAGATTTTTAACACAGAATTGACACGGACCGTGTTGCATTCAACACGGCCGTGTTGCGTTACGGAAAAACTTCCTATTTTGCATCTAAACTTCCGTTTTCAGCAAAGGAAGAAGCCCAGCTGCCAAACAAATAAATAGGAGACGTCTTGTGCTTCAGAAAATCATCGAGAGATTACAGTAGAAGCCAGAGAACTCGAGAGAGAATCAAGACGGACACTACAAAAAACACTCCATTTTTCGACGGAAATATCCGTCGCACAAAACAGAAAATTCCGTCGGTATTTTCAGTTTGCGACGGATTTCGACGGAATAAGTTCCGTCCGGTAATGGTTGTCGCAAACACATCCCGGTCGTGAATCCGTCGCATATTTGCGACGGAAAAACCCGTCGTAATTCAGTCGTTTTTTAGCGACGGAATATTCCGCCGGTAAACGCGACGGACTAACCGTCGCAATCTAGTCGATATGACCGACGAAAACTCCGTCGTTTTTCCATGGTAAACGCGACGGAAATTCCGTCGTTCATTCGTCGCTCTAACCGACGGAATTTCCGTCGTATTTCCGTCGGATAATGCGACGGATCATCTATCGCATAATAGTCGCAAAGAGGGACGGGAGGATTGGTCAGATAATAGTCGCAAATTAGCGACGGTTGTAACGACGGATAGTTCAGTCGCAGCATCGACGAGCGACGGAAGATATCCGTCGGATTTTTTCCGTATGCGACGGAAAAATCCGTCGCAGAAGAAATTTTTTTCGAAAAAAAAATAAAAAATTTCGTTTTAAAAAATAATTATACATATGAAAATTGTTTTATATATTACAAATTGAAAAAAAAACCGAAATTGTTTTATATATTACAAAACTGAAATCTAACGAAATAAATTGTCCGGAAAATCATCGAGATTTTGGGGATGTTGCTCGTCTTGATGAACCGATGGATCGGGATTGACGGCGGGACTCGGAGCAGACGAACCGGCGGAATCGGTCGGAGGCATAAAACGTTGCATCATCTCCTCTAACCGAGCGATCTTCGCCTGAGCTGCATCAAACTGAGCAATCTTCTCCCGAGCAGCTACAAGTTCCGCAGAAGTCTCCTCGTGTTTTCTCTTCAGCTCCTCGACTTCACGCGTCAGAGATACATGACGTACCACAGACGACGAAGATGCGTCACCACCCCCGAGCTGACTCGCCAACGCACCAATCCCGTAAATCCGACCTTTCGCATCGGGAGGAACGACCTTCAAAACAATATGTAAATAATATTTAAACTCTAACATGTTATATTATTTAAAATATAAAAATTACCTCGAGATACAAGCTGTTGATTTCCTGCGGAGTCAATTGCGTTGAACCGCTGCTCTCGTCCATCGTCATTCGATCGGTAATCTTCGATTGAATGGCCTCTTCAATTTCTTGGGCACGATGATCTACGTACGTCCCATCCGATCGACGATGCGTGTCTTGTAAGACACGCAGAGCAGACGGTTGAACGCCTTCTTTCTCGGCCTAAACAAGTTATACAAAAATATTAGTAAAATTTAAAAACAAATAAATCAATTTTCACAAAATACTTACAATATTGAGAGCAACTTTAGCAAACGATCTTCTCCCCGCAGTGTGAGTTCCTGGGGCACGGTCGGAAGCAGACTTCGCCTTTCGATTCGTCGATGCGATCCGACTCTTCTCTTGAGATTCCTCTGAATCCCATATTACCTCCAGCTGCGCCCAGATGTCTAAACTAATCCAGTCCGGCTTCTTCCGCAAGAATTTCAACCTATAAAGGTTATCTCGCAATCTCGCACCGAGACAATCCTTCCACGCACGATGGACGATATCATGCACAGAAGGATCCCAGTAATAAGATTGCTTTAAACAATATGTGTTAGTTATTTAATACTAAAAAAGATATATTAAACAAAAAACGAACAAGTTAAGACAATACCGCAAAAGCAGCAAACCATCGTGCCAAGACATCTTGCGGGACCCGAGAGATGCTACGCCATGGGCCATGATAATCAGAACGGTAGATCGTTTTGATACTCTCAACCAACTGATCATTCCGATCAAACCTATGATATTCAAAAACATTAATTAAGTTGAACGATGGACGATTTTGATCGGAAACGAAAGTGGTGTTAGAATATACTTACCACAACGCTCCATCAACCGAATCAGGATTGATACAAGGTTGTTGTCGTCGACTCTCTGATGCCAGGATCTCTCTAAGAGAGATCCCAGCATAAACAGAGCGATGGTCGGAACCTCCGGCCTCAAATGAAGCCTGGGGAGTACCCTGGCCAGTGAAACGTTGATCCAACTGCAGTGGATCAGGGGTTCGTTGACTTTGGATCGCTGGTGATCCAACACCACGACCACGGAATCGAGTGTTGTTCCCGCTATGACTACCAGAACGAGAACTCGAACCACGTCTTTCGTGACTCATCTACAAAGTGGGTTAGAATTTCGTATCAAATACGTAAAAAAACTCTAAACCCCAAACGAAACCCCAAACGAAACCCCAAATACTAACCCTAACCCTAAACCCACCCTAAACCCCAAATACTAACCCTAACCCTAAAACCCAAATAGTAACCCTAAACCCTAAACCCCACCCTAAACCCCAAATACTAACCCTAACCCTAAACCCCAAACGAAACCCCAAACGAAACCCCAAATACTAACCCTAACCCTAAACCCCAAATACTAACCCTAACCCTAAACCCCAAACGAAACCCCAAATACTAACCCTAACCCTAAACCCCACCCTAAACCCCAAGTACTAACCCTAACCCTAAACCCCAAACCCTAAACCCTAACCCTAAACCCCAAATACTAACCCTAACCCTAAACCCCAAATACTAACCCTAACCCTAAACCCCAAA